ATACTCATATAATTTTGGGGAAATTCAACTACCAGTCCTTTGTTACCTTAAATGGAATAGCGTGAACACATATCATGTCTGATTTACTGCGAGTCTCGGAAACCTATTTAAAACGAAAACATAACCATTATCATATATTTGCCTAAGTAAATATATCTTGAGGGCCTAGGAGTGATAAAAATGAAGATATTTTCACTATGCTTTGTAATACAGACTGCGTACATTAATGTGATTTTGAATTAATAATGTGCAAATCAGTCTTGTAGTTACATTCGCCCTTGGACATTGTGTACAATAGAAGCTGAAATAGCATGCAGTAGAACAAAGTACTATTGACACGAGCCATAAGTGAGGATGAAGTAGTTAGTTTAGTGAGATACAGGTCTGCTTACCAGCCTCAGTAAAATCAAATAGCGGAGGCAATTTTCTTCCATCGGGCATTGAGACTCCTTCTTGTCGAAGTTCGTCAAAAAAGGCATGCGCACAGGCATTGATCGCGCTTAATCGACTGGAAGGCACATAGACAAGTAAGTCAGAAACTAATTGTATGGCGTCATTAGGAGTGCGAGGACGGAACACCTGAGTGGGAAAATAAAGAGTGATTCCAAGCGTTAATTAGTGGGGTAATAGGCAAACAAAGAATTATTCAAAATGCAAAATTAAAATAAGTAGAGGTTGTTTGATCTTGTTTTTGCAACTTGATGATATTGATAAGAAGACCTAGAGGAACACACCTTTCAGATGTGATATAGTGCGCTCTTTCGAGCGGCTTTCATGAGAACTTTCCACACTGCACACCCTACGCTGGCTTTCTCACCCTCTCACCCCCTTCACCCTTGTGCCGGGAATGTTGATTAGAAGTTGCCCTATTGTTACGCAGTTCTTCTTCCCTAAGTCTTATTAGAGTCTCCCTCTTGCCCCGTAGAATCCATCTGCTATCAGCCTGGTTCAAGTATTTCAATAGGGCAGAAGGGGAGATTCCACAACTGTTTAGCACACGTTTGGTCAAAGGATTGGCTTTATTTGTCTTTTGACGAGTTGTGTGGTGCTAAGAATGGCGAGACTCACTGACGATGCCGAATACGATACCGGCGAAACGTCTGGATATGTACCAAGTCCATGATCCAACTCTGGAAATGATCCTGCATACAATGGACTCCGAACTAGGTGCGCTCCCCTAGCTCTTCCTACCAATATGACCAAATTGCGAAAACAAGGTCAAACAACTTCTATACGACGAAAATAGACTGCGACCACATAAAAGGCTACACCATCTTGATCTTCATACCTTTGATAAAATAAGCGGGCTTTTCATATGAGGGTTAGCATACCAAAATTTAATAAATGGAGTAGTTAACAGAACGCGCTAAGCTTACCGATCAGAACCAAATTAACTATTCTATAATATTCAAGCACCGAATGAAAAACTAAGAAACCAGACTTGGTCAGTATTTAGAACTTGAACAGTGTTACAGGGAACCGAGATTAGTAGTCACTACCCCAATTACACGCATTTCATCTATTATAAATGGAATCTTGTGGGAATCCCTAGGGGATTCGAAAACTGTATTTCACTGTAATCTTGAAGGCAACCACCATAATATAATACTGTACAATCAAATAAAGAAGGAATTATGAAGATAAGCTGGGTTTCGAAGAATCCTTTAATAGATTGATACTGGCATACCTTCCATTTCATTTTAGAAAGCGGGTCGAAGGGATTCATAGATTGGCCTCACCGGATGCGGAAGGGGAGTTGCCTTTGACTTTTGTCTGTTGAATTGTGTAAAGTAGACCTCGGCTCATCGTCCTGCGACCCCGACGACTCCGTGCTGAGCTTTTGTCTGTCATGTGACGGACATCGTCAGAGCCAGAAACCATTAATCACCAAAAATGACTAAACCTTTCATGTTTGATGTAGAACTCGAATTAAAACTTCTACGAGCTAACAACTGAGCAGCCCTGGGAATTATTAACCTCAAAGATAACATTTTTTCTAGATTAAATAAAAATCCTGATTAAACTTGAGAGAAAGCAACTTCATGAGACTTAAAAAATATGTGGTTTGTAGAGGGAAATATTTGGATAAAAATCCACTGGTTCTTGTACGAACATTATTGAGTGTATAATGCCTAGTAGATTCTTGATCAATGTTTCTATGCCTAACTAACCAGAAATAATAAATTCATATGAAATTTGAAAATCTCATTTATAACTTGTTTGATAGGTAGGACATTTAACTAGATTTACCTTGAACCATGAGTGCTGGTTGAGTCGAGGAAATTTGAATTCCCTGTAGTTTGGGTTCATTTCGTGAATCTCGTAGGGGTTAGGCGTACCGAGCACCTTGATGATCTCAACCAGCTGATCAACACCACTATCACCAGGAAAGATGGGTTGACCAAGAAGCAGTTCAGCGAGGACACAACCGGCTGACCATAGATCTGGAAGCCAAGGGAAGTAATAATAAGGTAGTGTCCTAATCAAAGTTAACTTCCTACCTATCAGACAGGCAAGAACCAATTTTAGATGTAGAAGACAGAAGATTACAAAGAAGGCTAGGGCTCAAAAAACAAGTCTTCTTTTGTATATCCCCACCAGCCTTAAGTCACATAAATACTGGCGAAGTCAAGGACAAAAATATATATTCCATACATTAAGCTTATCAAAGATGAAGGGATAACAAACAAAGTTGACAGTAATGACAAGTAAAAGTTGATGGAGATATTTTGTCAAATTTAGTGGAAGAATTTCGTCATTTCTGTGGTGCATTTAAAAATAGTTTGTAATAAGTAGATTAATGTCAATCCTGTTAGAAGACAGCAGATCTCTTTTAGCCGTAGTTTGGCTTTATTGGAGCATTATGGAGTACGCTTTACTCTAAGCAATCTTCCATAATTCGAGTGAAAACGTGCAATGTTTTCGCTTGTCAAAGGATAGACATCCCCAAAGCAGAAGTCATACAAGCAACTAACTCAAGCTAACAAGTAACTAAAAGTTAAGAGATATGAAGACCAAGATGGTGTGGCCTTTTGTGTGTTCGCAGTCTCCTTTCGTTGTATAGAAGTTGTTTGACCTTGGTAAACACCTTGTCCTTAGTCCAGTGTATGCATAATTATTTCCAAATCGGACCGTGAACGTTTCGCCGGCATCGTCAGTGAGTTTTACCATTCGTAGCACTATATTACAACTCGTCAAAGAGACAAG